AGGCCTTACATGTATCAAGTTGGTATTTTTAATTTCAGTAGAACAAAACAAATCTTTACAGCGGATGTTTCTAATGTATCCATTTACAAATCATTGAGAATTCATCGTTAGACATGACTTAACACACCATATAGCGGATGTTTTTTCGTCACAATAACCTTGTTTGCATTACCGGGTAACCATTGGATAGACAGCTCTTTCAGAGCCAGTCCAATGAAGAATCAATGCTATGATTAGGTGTTTTGTAAGTGGGTTAGATGCTACTAACCGCGACAAACCTGACCTGATGGTCTTGGTAGAATATTTCAAAATCAGTAGTATGTGAGTGACTGGACTGGAATGACTGGATATGATATACCGGATGTGTTCTAACGCGAGTTCATTCAGTTCAAACCGCTGTATTCATCATTCAAACGGATTTACATGGCCATTCATTATTCCGCGATCCCATTAGAATTTTACCCTGTCTAGGGTATCTGGTCGTATTCGGTCGGATAAGAGGAACCATCAATGTATAGATAGATAAACCAACTAAACCGCAAAACATACTAGTGACTACGCGACCGGACCGATCGACTAATTGATGTAGTCGTTGAAACTCTCACTGAGTAATATCGCTTGTGATGAACCAAGGTCACTCGCTCGATCTGATTGAACTAGGTTATTTCATTTTGGCTATCCGAACAACGGATACAACGGAGTACAGCGTTCCCGGAATAGCGTCCTACGCATCCGAACTCTCGTTCTCTTTCGGTCACTCAGTTAAAAAAATACGTTTATTTGTTTATGCACGGACAGCAGCACATCTTGAAGTTTCAAAGGTTTATTAATCGTGTACATAGCAAATAAAGCGTGAATTGATGTGCCCGGTGGCTGAGTGGGTAGTATGCTTTCGTTCTACCTGTGAGGTCTCGGGTTGGATTCCCAGTTGGGACGATGGATTTGCACTGCACGGATGAGACCGAAACAGGTCGAAACAGCTGTTCAGTGCTTCCTAGGTTTGCTATATACACGACGAACTCATCTCTGAAAGTGAATCAAATCTTCCATTACTCATATGAAACAGTTTGAAGTGTCTGGTATTCCTATTAGACGGGCCCGCTTCAATAGATGCGGTAAAAAGGATAAACTGAAAATCATGTGGTATGTGGAAGTGTTTGATATACCTCCGGTCACCGCGTTGACAACTCTGGCTGAACACTTCAATATTCTTAGTCAAACGAATCAGCATCGTGTGCAACCATGTGCATATAGAAAAATGCCTTCTATTGGGAAGGTAACCCGTTTCTTTTTTACTCAAAACGGAAACTTTCAACTCCATTCGTTCACTTGCATCCAGTGATACGATGCGATCCAATCTGGACCGGTGAATCAAATCAGATCCACTTCTAGATAGCTTAAAACATGGGGAATAACTAAACTTTATTAGACTAGAACAACAGTACAGCCGAACGGATTCTGGAACGTAGAGAAACTGGTTTTTGGATGAATCGTTGCAGTAAGAGAAAACAATACCGTTGTTGTTGGGTGCAATTGCAGTTATAAGTAGTTTTTGCGGAGAAAGAGGTGATTGTTGAATCCCCACTGCATTGAGGAATGGAACACAGAGTTGGCCTTTACAACTACAAAAGAGATCAACAGACTTCTAGGCTAGCAATAACCGGTGGAAAAACAGTCATAAAAATACTAACCAATTGTTACAGATCAGACGTTTCGTTCTGTGGAACCCGTTTAGTTGCTGATCTTTGAACAAGTGATATTTTGTCTTGTGGATTTGTAACACTAGGTGTAAATGCCACTTTGTAAGACTTGCGGCTTTGCATCGCAAATTCCAGATTGCTCATTGTCAATAAATCTCATATCTTGCTGATCACATATCAAATTGACTCAAAATATCGTTGGGTTCACTGAAATCATGAATAAACTATTCTCTCTGTTTATGCCTTTCATTAGATTTTACTCTGTACTTTCAATACGGATCAATGAAATCATTCTTTGTTATAATATTGATTACAATTGATGTGCATTTCAAAACGATCTAACTATACTGGCATTTTGAAAGTCCGACCTACCGCAGCCCTACTCTAACTCGTATTTGCACGCATTGTTCTCCACTCTTAAAAGCGATCATGAAATTCTATCCTGTCCTATTCTACCCACTCACCCACTCTGTCGATATATTCTCTCGAATCAGGAGGCTTTTCAAAAGGACATCCTACCGAAGATCAAAGTGCTCCTGTTCAATTTGTTCGACCACGCGCATCCATCCGTACGAATCAATGCGGTTCGACTGTACACAACATGTCTCAAGCGATGTCCCCATGCGGTATGTGCCAGCTGAACCGTTGTAGGAGCTTTTTCTAATCATTTTATTTTCTGTTTTTATTTCTCTCTCTCATCGAATATACATTTGTACAGTGAATTTTTGGGTATTGTCTTTATAAGCTTAATCACTTGCAAAACCGTCATCTAATGGATCATGAATCAAACTGGTCCACTTCAACCGCTGTTACTCATATTTTGACAAGATATTTTTCAGACGCCATTGATTTGTTCCAACGAAAGTTTGTAAAAACAATGCAACTCTACTGGGTGTTTATAGTTTAAGAAATTTTAAGTACCCTTTCTCTGCTTACGTCTGATTCTGCAAACTGGTAGGCATTATGTTCGGAGTGGGTTTCACTCCTTGGTAGATCGTTAATTCCCCATTATTTGAACGCATTCACATGCGATGGAAAACAGAGATGCCTCTCTTTTCGGTTAGGCTAGCTCAGGCAATTGGTAACTCCACAATTAGTCCTGTCCTCTTTTCTTCAACACCACCACTACTATATTGCTCCCCTGTAGTGTTTCCCGGTCTTTTAGAACAAGACTTCTAGACTTTGTCGTGATTTGATGATAATCAGTCGTGTATCATTGATCCCAAATGATTTATTATTCACAGAAATCATTGATGGTCGCATCAACTCGTATGTTGAACTTGCCAATAAGATTCTAGACAACCCTCTATGTCACCTGCAACTTGATCAATCTTCTTATCGTTCTCATCCGTTCTCACACTCTTCGTTCCGGCATCTACACTCTCTCAATAAATTCATAAAACTTCCCCTGTACCCTACTTGACCCGACTCCCATTAAATAAAGAACAGGTGGCAAGTGAATCGCGTCAGAATTTTGGCAGACGAAACAAAATTCAATGATATTCTTCACTTTGTATGTTACATGTAACTCTATATTTTATTCTGTACGTACATTTTTTAACTGAAATGTAAACTTATAAGCTTGCACAAAGTATGAGGTAGGGAACAATTTATTACGAAATGTGGCAGTGTTCTGTGCCATCAACGTATTGAATAACGTGAGTGGAATGATTGATACAAGGATGGGTTATATGTGCGGTACTGCAAGGCCCATAAATTGAAACTCATCTGCTTTCATTTGATAAAACTGATCAATAATCAGGCTTGTAGTTGCGAAGTAAGCGTTTTTCGAGCCTATAAACTGAATAGAAATAAAATAATTGTTCTAAACTCCACTTTAAACAGATTTTGCAATTCTTTTTGCTAAATGTATATAAATAGGAAGGTAACATGATATGTTTAATCTGTACCTAAAACCGGTGGAGATACTTGGAGGATTTTGAGAACAAAACATATTTTCAACATTCACTGAAGGCATAACATTCATCTTGAAATTGGATTCCCGGACAGTCTGCAGACAACCGGTGGTGTTAATTTTATCTTTGACTGACCAAAGACGAACATTTAAGGTTTCACCTTCACGCACAATTCTCAGTTCACCGATTCTACCGTGCACTCGGAAACACTAGATTCGAGTTTCGCTCTTATTAGGTCTCATCAGTAGTGCATATCCACCGTCCCATCTGGGATTTGAACTCCGAACCCATAGCACTGGGCCAACCAGCTCATACCATTACTGAACCGAATTGCCAATTCATGTTTATTCAGGCGTCTTCTTCAGTGAACAAACAAACTCAAGTCTAGTGCTTCCAAGTTTATGGTTGGAGCGATGACCTGGGGATTGTGCGTGAAGGTGAGGTCCGAAGGATAGTTCGGATCAAACAATATAAAGAAATTGTGAGTGAAATGCGAACTTTACGGGGCCTATGACCCGTCGGGAAGCACATTTTTGGAACGATGAAATGACGCAATGAATTTGTTCAATTTTTGCAGTGGCTATATACTTAATACTTAGTAAACTCACTGCTCCCGTGGTTCACACTTTCTCTGCCCCCTGTGTTCTCAGGTTGTTCAGACAGCTCTCGATGAGATCATGAACGAAGTTTGTGTCCTGCCCAATGTGAATGGATCGGGGACAGATGTCGAGTTGGTAAGTGATTGATTGATATTCCCCATCGTTTCATATATCGTGACATTCTGTGCTACTTAAACCGAAATCTGAAAGTGACTCATGCTTCTCTGACGGAGATAAATTACCATTGTGTTCGTCAACCGAATCCGCAAAGTGCTCCTGATTCACCAACTGCCGGTCAAATCAAGTCCCAACGTATGCGAGAAAAATGAAAATCATCAAATATCTTATTATTGAAAAACAACGATATGTTGAATGTAAATTTGGAATCAATTTTGTGCATCATAAGAACGAAATCCGGAGTGAACTCCACGGGCTACTTTAAACTACAGCACTGAACTGTGTAGCCAGAGTGTTCGTTTCTAATCGACATCATCTACTGAAAACGACGTGCTCACTTCGAGATCCATGAAAGCGATGCAACAAATCAAATTATCTAAGCAAATGACTTATCAGCTAATGGTCGTAGAGGAGGTGGAGCAAAACGTTTCGGGATGCGCAGTACACAACCAAGAGATGTAGATGACCGAGCAAGGAAAACGCAAACTGTAATCTATTGTGAATACTGTTCAGTGATTGCGACTGACACAGAACCGAATATCAGCACAACCTGAGAGCATAGCTCACAAGTCACACGAGGATCACCGTTATAATCGGGCTGTAAAGATGGAACTCATTCGATGTGACTGGATGTGGACGATGATTTTCTACGACTACTAATATGGTTTAAAGGGGCAGCAGCAGCAACAGCATAATGTTACTCTTTTACCACCTGGCGATGATGCACCTTCATGAAGCACCATGTTTGAGTGATTTTCGTGAAAAGTGGTTCCCGGATGTTGTAACACGGTGCAGTTGACCTATGAAGGCCACCACGGCGGACAACATGGCTGCTGTGCAGGCGACGGTGAAAGAGGATGCGCGGGTATAAGTGGCACAGCTGGCAGCAATAGCAATCTGAATCAATCCGCACCAACCTACGTGAGAATCACAGTCTCAGGATGGCTTATACACGCTTGGTACCCGCATCATCTCAGTGAGGAACGAAATGCAGTTCGGCAAATCGGTTACGCACCATGCTGGCCAGGTTTGATGGTGATCGTTTCAGGGCAGAACATTGGTGGTGTCAGGATCTGCTAGCACTGTTTTGACACAGAAACCAAATTACAACCGGCTCAGTGGACACTGGTTGGTTGGGAGCCGCTTCAGAAAGAGCTCAGAGCTCAGTGTAGCAAATTAAATGTATTTATGAACAAAACCGGCCATGTGGTTACAGTAACGCTGGTACAGCAAAGCGCACTCAGTGGAGACAGGTACATCACCCATTGTCTGCCGAAAGTACTAGTTGTTGCCAGGTGCATCCAGGGATTCCAGCACAAGAGAACTTGCTGCACCATGAGAACGAACCCGCACACAGGTCCAATGTTGTCGTCGATTTCCTGGTGAGAGAACGCGTCCAGCAGGTTAGCCACCCATCCTGCCGTCCAGACCTGGTTCCGTGAGACACTTCTGTGTTCCCAAATGACACCAAAAGCTGTATTCAAGGCGTTCATTTAACTGTTCGAGGGGTTACCCGCTTGGGCATGGTTGAGCTGTTTCAGCAAATGGTTTGAGCGCATAAAACTTTGTGTACGTGATCGCTGGTGGAGAATACTTCCAGAAAATGTAATACTTATTTTATGTAACAAATATGGTGTTTTTTGCATCCGGAAACGTTTTGTTCAGCTTTCGTATAGCACTCCGTTCATATCGCCCCAGTTGGCGATTCCCTTATATTTTGAAGAACACGATATGAGGAACGCGGGTTGTTTTCAGTGCTTTGGTTTCCAGAACTAATACATCACAGTTTCATTAGGTAGATCCGATGAGAGGTCCGCCATTGTATAGAAAAAATAATAATTATGATCGAAGTCGAATGGGATGTTTAGACCGGATAAAATGTTTCGCCTGAGCTCACCCATGAGGTCAATATGGAAAAATATTTAAATTCATTTGTTTACAATACTCAGAGAAACAGATCATAACTGGATTTGGGAATTTGCCCCTTTCAACCCAAGGAATTATTTGAATCGGGACTTCAAATCCTTACTCCTGAGCTACACCTTCGACGGCTATCACCTTGTGCGAATGGCTCAATCAATGGTCAATATTTTGATTAGTCCGTTCGATTTGTCACAGGCAGTGCATTTAAATGTATGCAAATAGTGGAGAATTAACGATCTCTCAAGGAGTGAAACCCACAGGGAACATCAGCAGCAGTACTTAGTGCCCATGAAAAACCGAATGGGCTAATTCAAACATTGACAATCCAAGAAATTATTGTTCACATTCAACATATTATTACCATTTGGGTAGGAAGCCTATTGACTGCGGAGATCCCTCTTTCTCTTCGTTTGATCTGACCTTATGTGTTTATAGTGGAACCGAATGGAAGGGGGCTGAAATCAATCAGTACTTGACCTGTATTATCGTTATGTAGACGGTATTGTTTTTTACTGCCAACTAAACTAAAGATGTAGATGCGATTGCGGAAGAATGTAATGATGCACAAACACGGACACATTTTCTGGCAAGCTTGAAAGACTAGACAGCAATTTCGATCAGGTTATTTTTCATCCGTTCAGTGCGAATCCATTGACCCAATTGGTGATCGAACCCGGGACCTCAGCACAGGTAGAATGCAAGCATACTGCCTACTCACACCTCATTTACACAACGAATTCATCATATACACTTGAAAGCGTTAGTCTATCGTTTCAGTGGGTGATCCAACACAAGAACTTTCAGTTCACTGAATGCAACAGGAAAAGGAAATCAGAGTTATCGACATACATGCGCGCACACACGCACATAGAGGTATAAAATATGTCATCATTCTGATCACAGAGTCTCTGAGGATTTATAAAATGCGGTCAGTGAGTGAACAACTTGCCGTCCGGACAGGTTCTTCGGCATCCAATTGAGTTATAACTAAACATCCGACATGTTCGCACAGATGACCCAATAAACTACATCCATCAGCGTTTCCCTTCAAATGTGACACTAGAACAGCGAGGACTGGTAGGATTTTGATTTCTGCGGTAACAAATATTTTTGGATTCGGCTCAAAAACCCCTACTGACTTGTTGATGGGATCATTTATTCTTCGGGCAACGCAGATATTGTTGACCAAATCTTTGTCAAGATCTGGCTTCCAGATATAGTTGTTATAGTTTAAGACCTGTTATGAATAAATTTTGAAAACACGGCCGGATAGAATCTGATTATTTCAAATAAGTTTTAATTATTCTCATTTAGGTCAAGTTCGGGGAATTACTTTATGCACCCCTAAGAGGAGGTGAATATTTAGCAACCCCAAAACAACATAGTGTCAAACAATGAAATAGACAATACGATACAATTTCTAAATAAATTGGTAACAACAACAACACCAATACCAACTAAAACAACAAAAAATCAGTGACATTTTATCATTAAGTTAGAATAGCATCTTGTGCAGATTACCTGCAACGATTTCATAGCTTGTGCTCAAAACAAGTAGAGCTTATCCAGATTTTCTGAAGAAAAAATCATTGATAATCTATATCTATTTTGGTTTAAGTTTATGGAATTAAGTCATTAATCGGTATCAGTAATTTTTGTAGAACCGTGTTTCGTACGTCCTAGTGAATGCGATGTTATTCAAGTAATGGATTACGTCTGTTCGTTTTGGGAGCCCATAAGCACCATTCGCATCTAGAGGTCATGGGCTGTCCATCGAATTCTATTTTTTTCGAAGGCACTGACATACGAAACCGCTAACAACACAGATATCCCAAAATTATAGAACCCTCTCGAGGCTTAGGGTCATTGGTTCTAACAACGTGAGGATCCTCTTTAAATCGGCTGAGTGACAGTCGCCTTTTCCACGAATAATTGGTGTTGTGCAGTACTATCCCCATTTGTGAGTAGTATGTTTGGATTTTGCAAAATTGTGATTGATGGTTTCTCACAACGGTAAAAAATGAACAAGTCCTGTTAGAACTGATTTGTGTGAGTAAAATTATAATCCCCTATTGTGCGTGCTTTTCGTTTCGTTCGGTGTGAGCTTATTTCCTCTGTCCAATACTTCTTTCTGATTAAATAATTCTCCTCAAGCTGGCACTATCCTTTGAAATGATGACAGTAGTAGCAGGATAGAACTGTCCGTTTTTTATTTTTATTTTTGTGAAAGTTTGAACCAACCTCTCAATCAAATTGAACTTTTATGTGACATTTTTCGCGATTCAGTTGACCTAACATATTTTTTCCATCGGCTTCCATTATGCACTGTAATACGAACACAATTTTTGCATACTCGTTTGGCACTGAAATTCCCACTCATGCCTCCGTATTGCTGTTGTTGTTGTTGTAATTGTGGTTACTGTTCTACTCCCATGCATTCCTACAGTCTTCAGCCCTCGGATCACATGCGATCGAAAGTTTGCTTTCGTTGTGCCAAATATTACTCAGAGTAAGTGAATCGTGATCGGATGTATTGTCGTCATCTTTCCTACTCGCTGATGGTTGTTTATTTTTTGAATGTAAGAGATTGCGAGAAAATCCCCCCCCCCGCCGCCCGCCCAATTGACAACAGCATTTTCTTGATTGGTTACTGGTGAAGTTGTTTGTTGTTTGGATCGCTCTCAGCCTGTCACTTGTGGAATTCATTATTTTTCTTAATGATCGGAAAAGATTGGCCAAACAGTTAGAAAACAATGTGAGGTATTTTCAGGTGGTTGAGTTTCATGGCACATCGGCTACCTCATTATGATTCTAACCGATGGATAGAGAAAAAAACACAAGTGGATTAGGTGTCCTGTACTGAGAGCAACATTCTTCACGACTGGATGTTTCCATTGAGAATGTGATTTCCTAAACCGTCCCACAGGTTCTGACGGTGCCAATGAGCAAACGGATGCGACCGAAAGAAACAGAGATTACATCTGTCACATTCTGCGGGAGATGTTAAACCGTGTCCCATGATACGACATTCCCTTGATCGTGAGGCA